CTCCGCCATGGCTGCCCGATCTGCCTGCTCCGCCATGGCTCCCCGATCTGCCTGTTCCTCTTCACGTGCCTGGCCCTCCGTTCCGCCTCCACTCCACCACCCTCCTGGACTTTTTGGATTTTGTTTCATGGCACGTCAAGTCTGTTCATGCCTCGTCAAGTCAAGTCTGTGTCTCGGTTTATGTTTGGATGTTTGGATCACGTCTGTAAATAAACTGCACATGGGTTCTTCACTACTCTCGCCTTCAGTGGACCGCTTCGTTACAGATACATTAATTCCATCAATATATTATTGTTTGTTCACCTCTTTGGTCTATTTTTATTTCGCAAAGATACATTAAATTGATCAAAAGAGACAGTAAAGAAGCTTTTGATTTTCAAAAAATGCTGTTCTTTTGAACTTTCTATTTTTAATGGACATCAATCAATCAAAGTATCACAGTTGCCACAAAAATATTCTGATGTTTTCAGCATTGATAATATTAAGAAATGTTTCTTGAACATGTTTCTTGAGTAATGGCTGTTGAAAATTCACATTTAAAAAATACATTTAAAAAGTAAAAATATTTTAAGAATTTAATTCAATATATATTAATGTCAAAATGTGTTGAATTAAAAAAAAAAAAGTGAAACAAAATAACAAAACACAAACAGAGCCCCAGACAGACGGCCAACCACACACATTGCCGTCATCTCATATTAAAATATAAAACAGTTATTTAAATTGCAATAACATTCCAAAAATATTACTGCTTTTGAAGCAGTACTGTATTTCTGATCAAATAAATGCAGCCTTGGTGAACATTAGACACTATTTTCAAAATAGCATTATTATAGTTATTAAAGTTTTACTAAAAGAAAAACCATTTAAATGTTACCTGAATTAAAATGAACAAGTTTTAAATATAAAAACGCAAAATTGTGCTGTCAAGGCAACATCTCTCATTTTTATTTAGTTTAACTTGATGTACTAAAAAAACTACAACAGAAATAAAAATGAATAAAAACAGTATAAACTAATAAAAATGACAAAACACACAACAAAAGTACTGAAACTTTAATTAAACCTAAAATGACAAATCTAAAAATAAAAAATAATTTAAGATATCATTAAAAACTATGAAAGGATCTCAATGATACTAAAATAACAGTTTCAAAAACATTAAGATCCCAAACTTTTTCACAGTATAGTGTGCACTCTCTTAAGTTCATTTTTAACAACTCCTAATAATTAAATAACACATTTAATATTACATTTAATCTTTAATAAATATCAAAATTAATATATTTTGTTAATATAAATGATATGTTTTATGATGCCTAAATATAGCTTTAATTTTAATCTTTTATTATTATTAATACACACACACACACACATGCGCACGCGCACACACACACACACACATAATTTTTTAGAACAGCGGAGTTTGCCATTTTTTGGTTATCAGCCATAGTGTGAAAATAATCGGCTTGACTGCCTAAGAAATACAATTCTGAAAATGTATAAATAAAACAAAAACAAATCATATACAGCTAATATATGACATATAATGGGTCCAAAGCACTTAAAAAAACATATGATTTAGTTGTTTGAGTGCAGGTCATGTTTCTATCCAGTCCTGTTCAAGAGGTGATCAAACCAAGAAAAAGAACCATAGAGGTTTTCTATCATCTAATGCTCACAGAATATGTAAAAGGTATTAATGGTGAGGGAGAGTGGAGAGCCACTGGATCATACATGAACCAGAAGGAAGAAAAGATAAAAAAAGAATGAAAAGAAGCTGTTATTGCTAATGAGGCAGAGACACCGTGCCACGGGTCGCAATAATGAGCATTATATGAATCATTTCTCGGCCCCAAGGAGCATCACATGTTCCTCTAAGAATGTCACAAATATGATATATATTATGACAATATTATAAAATTATACATAAAATGTTTCTAATAATGTTTTAGACTGCTTTTCCACCACTGAAGATTTAAATAATATTTTAAAGTATTAAAATTATAAAACAACAACAAAAACAGTAGCCTATTCATGCTTTTTTGTAAAGTTGTTAAAAATATAAGTCTAAAAATGTATGCCTCTACACCTCTTGGAACATGACTGAACAACATTTCACACTGAGGATCAATTAGAGACATCAAACAAAAAAAGTTCATTTGTTTTGTTTGATCCATTATTTATTCATGTATTTCCACCATTAAATCTGCGGTACATTTTTCAGTTATGTGAGCTCAAAGGCAAGCGTAATTAGAACTTGAAAGGCCGGTCCAGACAAGAACAGAGCCAGTGATTAAAACTCCCATGTCGACAAAAATCCCACATTCCTGACAATTAAACTTCTGTTCATCCATATCAAGCCCATGCCCACTTTCAGACAGTTTAAGACCATCTGAAAACAGCTGGATTTGCAGACACCGGTCGCCAGGATGAACTAATTTGTCAAATTATTCAATATTTGTCACATTTACTTACCGTTTTTCTCATCAAACACACCCACAGGGAATTTTCCTCTGCTTCACATGGAATGTCTCAGAGGCATCAGTCTGGTGGCACCGGAAAAGCTCTGTTCTGGCTGTTAATAGACAGTGTGTGGTCATGCCTGTGTATTTGTGTATCCTTGAATGCTCAAGGCTGTGTGAACCATTTGTGTTCATGTTCCTTTTGACAACAAATAAAGCACAACGCAAGGCCTTTCCTCCCTAACACGCTTTATTTATCAAACCTTGTTACACATGTGTTGCATCTGTGTGGACTGGAGACAACATGCTCTCATCAATGATGGGTGAAGTGGCTTGTTGGTTGTTCAACCTTGGTCTTTTTAAAGAGCAATAAAGGAGTTCAGTTCAGATGTTCTGATTATAGTTTCCCATAAATCTAAAATAACCGAGGTTAAAAACACAGAAACGGTTCCCCAGGCATAACTTCTCAGTTTAAACACCCATTAACCATCTCTGCTCGAAAAAAACGAATAAATAAACTTTTGGGGTTTTAGAGACTTTTCAAACTTTATTCTACCACATAATCATAATTAAAACCATTCTAAAACAAGTTGGAAACACTGAACAGTAGTGGATGTATTGAACGAGAGTAATTATTGAAGAGCAGTGATCTCTATAATGAGCAGGTGGACTTTCTCTTTCACGTGATGCACTACACTTGTAATTATGGCAAGTCACCAGTTGTACTGAATAAATGTTCATTAGCATGTATAATCGTGACAGAGGCGTATTTGATGAAAGTCCTATATTTTTTATTGCAATATCTTTTGCAGAGTTTTAAGACAATTCAGTGTCATTGTCCGAAGATAAAAAACTCTGTGTGAATGCTGCCACCAGCTGGAGAGACTTGGTAGTTGAGTGAGAACCTGAGAAGCTTGTGGAAAGTCTTGAGTGAGACTCTTCGTCGTCAGCAGCAGAAGTCACTAGAGTAGTACTAAACCAGGAGGCTATGGATGTATTAAATTGACAAAGTGACTGTAAAGACATTGTTACAGAAAGGTTCTATTGCAAATAAATGTTGTCCTTTTGAACTTTCTATTCAATTAAATAAATCCTAAAAAATGTATCACAGTTTCAACAAAAAGAATAAGTAGCCGAACTGTCAGCGTTGATAATATTAAGTAGTAGATAATAATAAGCATGATAAGATAATAAGTATGAACAAGTAGTAGTATAATAACAAGTATAAGAACAAGTAGTAGTATAATAAATGAACACTGAATGGAATGCCTCTTTTTGTGCAATATTCCACCTTGTTCAATCCAAACTTTGCAATTTTACAGTTGTGTATTCTAAATTACTTAAATTGTGATGTATATGACATGTAAATATTGCTGTTAAAGGTATATTATTCTTACACACACACACACACACACACTAGTATTTATTTATTTATTCTTTTATTTGTAAATTTTGTACATAGGAAAAAAGTTTTTGCGCATAGGATAATAATTGTTTTTAGAGTGGTAGACTAATTTTTGCACCGAATAGGATTGCACACAATTTAATTGCACTTTTGTATAATTAAATTATAATTTTAATTATACTTTTGTTTTGTCTTCTCTTCTCTGTCTACATGGCATCATTAGGTTCTGTCATTCAGAAACATGGCTTTTCATACCACTGCAATGCTGATGCCATCCAGTTAGGCACATCAACTATAACTCCTTCAAAAACAGCCAGAAACCTTGGACTTATGATTGATGATCAGCTTACTTTCTCAAGCCACATTGATAAAACTTCCCGGTCCTGCAGATTTGTTTTATTCAACATCAAGAAGATCAGGCCCTTTCTTTCGGAACATGCTTCACAACTCCTTGTTCAAGCTCTTGTTCTGTCCAGGCTGGACTATTGCAATGCTCTCTTGGCAGGTCTTGCAGCCAGTTCTATCAAACCTTTACAATTAATCCAGAACATGGCAGCAAGATTTTTTTTTAAAGAATTTTTAATGAGCCAAAACGAATGCACGTCACACCTCTGTTTATCAATCTGCACTGGCTACCAATAGCTGCTCTTGGATATCATTGCTCTTTTGTTGATTTTGATTGCTTTCATTGTCCTCATTTGTAAGTCGCTTTGGATAAAAGCGTCTGCTAAATGACTAAATGTAAATGTAAATGTATAATGACAATAAAGATTCTGATTCTGAAGTAATTTATATATTGAAAAATCCAATATTATTTTAGTAATTTTAATTTAGTTAGCGCAAGGTACGATAACAGTGTGTATTAACTGTATTTTTGGAGTATTTTGTATTTGGTTACCATGGTAGTTTTTTGTCAGAGAATGAACTCTGTGTTTCTATTGAGTGGCCAGTAGAGGGCGTTGCACAGTCTATCTGCATCGCCATGGCCTATGCTAGACGGGAGCGTTTCATGGGTCCTTGAACGCCTGCAAACATTTCCTGATCTTGGGATTCGGTAACTGTGAGTCACTATTTCCCTGCCTGAGTTTTTGCTCAAACATTTCATCTCATGCGGTGGTTACTCTAGTCCATAGCAACGGCATTTTGTGGGGTGTTTATGAATAGAAAGATTTGTATGTTCATTCTCAATGCATGACTCAACAGTTTTAACAACCAGTAATTTTACTCAAATATATCCTCGTTGATTCAAGGGAGTTCTCTTCTTTAGACCTGATTTAGTCGTTTGGACTGCAATAGAAAGTGTATGGTGTGTTATTTAATATTGTGAATTAACGTTACAGGTACTAATCACAATGTCCTTGATGATTTTTTAAGTCATTTTAAATTTATATGAATGCTATGTAATTTTAAGTAGGTTTTAGTAGTGTAATGCCACCGAAGTGAGTGTGTCTGAATGCCATGTTGTGAAAATATTCTGGTTGGAACCTGTCATGTCTTGTAATTTGCTGCATGTATCCTAAATCTCGACCCTTTGACCTCCCAAGACCTCCACAAACGTTTGCAGGTTTATCCTAAAAATTTTTAAAAAAAAAACTCCATCAAAGTCTGCAGATTATATCTAGTATACTTGTGTCATGATCTCCCAGCAGTTCCCAGAGATTTTTTGATTTAGCACTCGAGGTGGAGAGACATTTACCCTGGGGAATCTCATTGTTATATTGGAATGCGGTGGTTGTGTGTAATAATACAACAAGGATGGCAGAGAAAGAGAGACAGCAGGAGAAAAGAAAGTGCAGAACAGACAGGCTCATCCTGCAGTATTCCACAGTTCTCTGTGTTTCAGCTGTCAGTGGTCTCTCATAGACTGTAGGTACTGGCATCTGCTGGGACTTTTCCACTGATCCGCTCATGCCCTTGTGCCAGGATTGTCTGCTTTTTTCATAGCTGTCTCTCCTGCCATCTTGCCTCATGGTGCTGTTTCTAGAAGAGTTTTTGTGCACAAACAAATAGGGCCCTAAATTATTAGTTTATTTATTAGTTTACAAAATGATTATTTAACTTTTTCTGTTTAGCCTTCATTTATATTTATTTCAGTTTTGGATTTAGTAATTCACGTTAAACTTATTTGATTTTAGTTAGTTTAATTTGATCTAATATTAGTTTTTTTTTCAGCTTTATTAACAAAACAAAACACTCTTAGAAAAAAGGTACGAAAGCTGTCCTTAAAAAGGTACCTTTTTACCTTATTGACCCCTAAAGGTGCCTATACCATAAATGTGCATATTAGTACCTAAATGGTGCATATTTGTACCTTTTGAAAAGATACCGCCCCAGTGACAGATTTTGTACCTTTTTTCTGAGGGTGAATAACGCTGATGTGCAGGTTTGATCCTGAATCCTAATATGCATCAGAGAGTTGATGGAAGGTGACTAGTTCGTGGTGTTTAAGTGAATTGAAGCACAGCCTTCTTTCCCAGAAAGGATTCGTCTCATCCACTCTCTCTTTCTCCCTCTCTCTCCCTCCTTTTACTAAGACACCTGATTGGATAATTCATTTTTAGTATGTCCACCCCTCCGAAATAAATACCAGGCAGAGTTTTTAATATAAGGCTGTTTGCTTTGACTTTCCCCTTTAAAGCCTCATGCAACAGCTAATGGATGTATTCTGGGTTTCTTGGATGGACGCATGAAGGATATTTTTCTTTGGCTCATGTTTGGATGAGTAGATCTTCGGAGGACTCTTTGGATTAGCTTTAATTATGTGGAAATATAGATTCGATTGTTTACTAATTTAATTTAAAAATACTAATTTGTTTTCTTTTTCTTTTTTTTATTAGCTTGGGATCAGACATTATTTTATTATATATTTTTATTTTATTTTATTTTATCCATTAGCATGGAAGGGATTTAATTTACTGTCATTTAGATTGCTTATCTCACAAGTTACAGATTATATAAAAAAATGATATAAAAAATCTCTATTGCCTTGTGTGGGTTTACTGAGTCAGACTTCACTAGCTCCGCCCTCCTTTCATTCGCTTGCTCTTCTACTCCTGTTCCTCCTCCTCCTCTCATTTCTTAGAGGCGTGAGTTTCTGCCAGAGACTAAGAGCGCGAGTCAGACCAGACACTCTCTCTGCAGAGTTTCAACGGGACACAGCAGCCATAGAAGCCCTCAGTAACCCAAACTCTCTCTCAACTTTACCAGGTGAGTGATTCAGGCATTTTGACTAGCAGTACTGCAAATTTTGAATGCTCAGACCCCAAATCTATTTTTAATTTGTGTTTTTCATAGCTTTTTTTGTAGCATTGCACAGTAAAATGCAGATTACTCCTGTAATTTAGTCAAGGGGGAGTGTCACATGTGCCGTCTAAGCACATTGTAATGTTTGGAATTACTTCAACGTTCCAAAACAAACATGCAAGCACAGCTCCTGTGGATGGGTCTTTGACATGCTTGTCTGTACTGGTTGTGTTTAAAATGTGTCAAAGTGTGTGTTTGTGTTTTATCCAAGAAAGGTTGCAGTGAATGCATTCTAAACCAGTCTACAATTAGATCTGAACCAGATTAGATTATTTGGAAGGGAACGTATTTTAGATTTCAGAAACGAGTTTGTGAAACGAAATGTTTATACTGGGAAGTTTGTGCTGAACATACTTGGATGTGATCAGAGGTTGGGCGTGGCGGAAACGGTAAGACACAAAGTGAGGGAGAGGGATGGTGGAAAGGGAAGGAGGGGACGGGAAGGAGGGCCGGAGTTTATAATTTGCATATATTTATTTTTTTGTAACCATAAATATATTGCATATCAGTTTAAAACTGTCAGATTGTGACCGTAAAAGATGCCTGAATGTATCACCTGTGAAATATGTCTCCTCTATTTCTCCCCATTCTATTTTATTCTATTCTAATCCCTGTACAGTTTCAGGCTAACAGCACCAGATCCAGTCAGCTATGGAGACTCCAGGTCAGAAACGAACCACCCGCGGAGGGACGACCACCGTCCTGTCTCCCACCCGCATCTCTCGGCTGCAGGAGAAAGAGGATCTGTGCAACCTGAACGACCGTCTGGCGATCTACATCGATAAGGTGCGCTCTCTAGAGGCAGAGAATGCAGGTCTGCGTATGCGCATCACCGAGTCGGATACGGAGATCAGCCGTGAGCTGAGCGGCATGAAAGCGGCATACGAGGCCGAGCTGGCGGATGCCAGGAAGACGCTGGACTCGGTGGCCAAAGAACGAGCCCGACTGCAACTGGAGCTCAGCAAGGTGCGCGAGGACTACAAGGAGCTGAAGGCCAGGTATGTGTGCAGACCATGGGTTACACGTCATGGATGTTATGCCATGACTTAATTAGCTTTTTTTGAAGTTTAAAAGTTAATTTTTGGGATGAACAAGTCCTTTAAAACTGCAAACCAGTGCTATTCCAGAAAGTGAATCCAAGTCTGGAGTCAGCAGTAGCAATTACCATGACTCAGGGTGTACTCACACTAGGCACGGTTGCCTTGAACTGAGCCCGAGTGCGACTATCCCCCCTCCCCACTCCCCCGCTGGCCTGCACTCACACTTGCACTAAACATTCCGGGCCGGAGCACGCTTACGTCATGTATGAGATAACGGGTGCTCCGGCTCGATTAGCGCTCACACTGCATGCGTACCGCGCCCGAGCCCGAGCCCAACCGAACCGTGCCCTGGCCCACCTCTTCTAACTGGTTTCCAGGGCCGGCTAAACAAACCGCGCCCGAGCACGACACGGAGTGCTCACACTAGTCAAACGAACCGGGCTTTGGGGGTCAAACGCGCTCAGGCACGGTTCAAAACGCCTAGTGTGAGTACACCCTCCTTCCACCCAGGAACTTAAAAAAATTCCACCAGTTTTAGTTTCTGAACAGTGCAGGTTACAGATCATAAATCAGTGATGTAGAAGAGCTGCAGACACTAGGGCTCTTTTCCTGTAATTCCTTTCACACATCCAAAAGATAAGTTTAACCCTAAAGTGTAGAACGGTGCCGACCCCTGGGCTCTTAGCCTAGTCCTCAGCTAAATTTAGCTGAGACATGACGGCAGTTTTCTGCAGGTTACATCTGCTTATTGCTCCTGTCACTAAGGCTGACAGCTCAGTGCTTTAGTCTGTTTGATGCGTTTTAAAATTCAACTGAAATTTAGTTCAATTATAATAATTCTAACAGAAAACAAATCTGCATTGAACAGTAAGTATTATGGTTTTGGGTCGGTGAGCTGAATTTGTTTGAACAAAAATAAAGCGAAAACAGTAATACTGTGAAATGTTTTAAAAATTTAATTGTTTTAATTCAAATTTAAACCATTTCAAATTACTGTTTTCTATTTTAATATATTTTAAAGGGGTCATATGATGCTTTTTTAAAGATCATTATTTGGTGTATTTGGTGTAACAGAATATGTTGACATGCTTTGTTTATTAAAAATATATAACATTATTTACTTTCACTTTCCATCAATTTTATGCATATTTGCTCTATAAAAGTATTCAAAAATGAAATCTTACTGACCCCAGATTTTGAAACAGTAGTGTACATACCCACACACACACCGTCTCTGGCTCAGTCTGTTCTACAAGTGTGCTGCAGCTCAGGTATGTGAGGTGTGAATGTGGGTGTGTTGTATCTGCTTGGGAAATGGCTGTTGGACTGGCCACCACACCCTTTACAACAGGTTTAGTGTGTTCACTTTACATTTTATAGTTCCTTTGTCTTCTGCAGAAATGCTGCTGCTTGTGTAAAGTTTTACACTGATTAAAGTAAACGGATACAATCATTGTTATATGTAGGTTTAGCCAATAAGCCAGTGGACACTTATTAATTTTTTTTTTTTGCACTGCAGTGTGTAGATTAATGATTAATTTGACTAAAGTGTGTCATTGCAAACCTCCCTCCCACAGAATGTCAAATATCTACAAAATAATGATGTGAATTAGGGACAAATGATTGATCTTAAAATGTTATAATATTTGGTCTAAATAAATAAAAAATAAGACAATAAAATCCAATAAATTAGTCAATTTTAGGCATCATAACATTATAATGTACAGTATGAAAAATAAATATTCCTTTTGAGATATGCTAAAGATTGCATTTAAAAGCTTTATTAAATTAAGCAGTAGATGACAGAAGTGATCTAAGTAATCTAACAATAATATTTTGTGCATTTTAAATGCTGTATTTATTTTCAAACATAGTTTGGCAATAACTAATTGCATTATGTAAGAGAAAAGATTCTCTCAATAAAACTAAGAAGCAACTATGCATCATAAAAACTAGTAACTTAATTATCATGCATTCGTCCTTTGCACTTGAACTCTCTCATATCAGTGTACTTTAAAGATATCCAAACCATCTCAAACTTCAGTTTATTTTAAGTTTATTAAGAAGCAGTGTGATGTAGTTGTCATTGAGTCACAGTGATTGTTATTATAATTTATTGTTTATCTTGCTGTCTCTATGGTAGTAGACTGAGTCAATGCGTTGGTTTAAGCAAGAGGTGTGTTGATCCCAAAAGGGTGTGGTTCAAAGACAAATAGACATCAAGGCTGAAGATGTGCCGTCACTGAATGATGCGAGACAAGTTGAGAGTTTAGTGAAAGCCATTATGAGTCATGTTCATTCATTTCATAAGGTTTGTGGTTATACACATAAGGGAAGTCAGCTGAAGGAGATAGTCTTATTTGTTTCCCAGGGTTACAGTAGCACTCATGAGTTCCTGTAAGCCTCAATCACTAGGTTAATACAGACGGACTCGTACACTCATTGGAGCTGCGCTGTTTGAAAGTGTTTGGTTTCCACAGCTACCATGAGGCCTTGCCAGGGTGTGTGAGAGGTTCTGACTGGACTGAGTGGTGACTCATGAGCTTTAAGTAACTGTGGGGAAAGCGCTGTTTACTCTATCTTTAACCCCTCACCTCAGAAAGAAAGCCCTGTGTCCATGTTGGAACAGTAGCCTTATTTTATTCCAGTGAGTTTGAAACATTTGTGTTACACTTATGTGCTTAGCAGATGTTTTCTTACTGAAGCAACTCCATAAAGCAGCTCCATAAAAGGTTCCAGTTAGAAAAAGAATAGGGTTTTATAACCCTATTGACACAGGGAAAGTTCTACAAAAACTTTTATATTTCTTTGTACGCTGGTGTTTTAAAATACCCAGAGGATATTTTTGTGATCGGGAGAATTTAAAATGGAACATTTTAATCTCTGAAGAACTTATAGCTCAACTCAAAAAAAGTGCTATACATTGAAAACTAGCTCATGATAAGAAGAGAGCTCTTTCCTGAGTCTGAAGTACTGCAAGCAACCACTCAAGAACCTTTTTCCATTATGTTACTATATATTATCTAAAATATATATATATATATATATATATATATATGCTTAAATAACTTAATAATTATAATGCATAATAAAAAAATAATAGATATAGAAACAACACACACACACA